GGCAGGAGGGACAGCCTGGGAATTCACAGCCTTGGTGACTTCATCTGCCAGCTGCATTCACACATCTTTACTACCTGAATAACTGATCTCCACTACTCCAGGGCAGCACTTTCTGGTGTACAGCATTTGGGAATAAATATTTGATTGCGCGTACAACAGAAAAGAGCTCAGATGGTTTAAGGTGTGACAGCAGAAGTGTTTATTAAATTCCAAGTGAGAGCATTGCTGGACAGTAAAAATTTGTCCCATGGTCCCTATCTCACAGGTGTGGTGATGAACAATAAAAGATCTTTCACAGGCAGAGGGGAAGGAGGGGAGGCAAACTCCCTCCCCCACAAACCCCACATCAATTCTTCTGTTCATTAAACCCTCCGCAGGCAACAAGCTATCTGTCCCTGACCAGCCAGTTGCACACAAAAGAAAGGGAAGTACTAAATTACAGGCCAATTTTAAGTGGGCATTGATTGAAGTAACCAGAAGAGAGCTTAGTATTGTCAGAGTTTCATGCAACAGTAATAAACAATCTTCATTAAAAAATGATGCGTGCATCCCAAAGAAACACAGCACATGCCCAGATTCAGAAAAGAATATAAAGGTCCTCAAGCCCCATACAACTGAAGAGGAAAAAAAATGCTCAGTGTCTTTTTCTCCTACAGTTTCATTTTATTCATTAAAATCCTTCCCACTCTAGCTTCTGTATTTGTCCTAAGCAAGAAAGGAGTTCTCCAAGGAGGAAAGGAAAAGGCTGATGCAAAACAGAGATCAGACAACTTCTTTGTCAACACTTTCCTGCTCTGCTGACAATGCAACAAAATCATTACTTGACTGATAGATAAGTGTCAAAAACCTCTTTGTGTAAGGGAACACAAAAGGCTTTTCATAAATACACACACAGATGCACACACTTTTTTTCTAACTGAGCAGGACTGAATTAACAGCTCCGACTGAACACAGCCAAGTACCTGGGCCCTTCAACACATTTGTTCCAGGTTAGGGGAAGCCCTTGTCCTTACAGACTCACTGCAGCTGTGTGAGCACACTCACTGCCATCAGGAATTGCTGCCAAGTCCTTTCTCCAGAGCTTTTCCATTTCTGAAAGATCAGAGATGTTGTTCTGTACAGATAGCCTAACCTTCCTGCACTCTCTAATTTCTGCATTATTTATTAGTCGAGTTCTATCAGGTTTGATTTTTCAGGTATGTAACGTATATGACATGAATCATTCATCCACAGATTATAGTATAAAAATTCAGAAAGGTGCCTGGAAATATTCAATTACATGCCTACCCTATGCTTATATTTACTAGATTAGTCTCCACCACTCTGTAGAAATCCTCAGCTAGCTGAAAATCGTATCTAATGCTTGTCACATCAAAGAAAGGAACAGCGTTCAACGCATACAGGTACTGTAAAGCTTTCAAGTCACGCCTGTAGAATGGTTTTCTGAAACAGAGCCAGGTCATTCAGCAACGAGTCATTTTTGTCACACTACAGATTTCTGTCTCAGGGTTGGCTGGTTTGGTTGTGTGACCTTCAGCTGTAGCATCTCCTCCAGACTGGGCACTTGGAAGGTTTCTATCTCTGGTGCCTAATGAAGTCTTAAACATAACCTGATTTACTGAGACTCACTCCACCTTTGTTAAACCCAACGCATGCAGGCGAGAGCCTCAGCACTTCAGAAAGCACAGACACATGAGCACACACACCTGCTTGGTACACACAGTGTGCATTTACTATGTGTACAGTAATGATTCTTTTCCTGCATTGTTATTAAGGGTTTCCTGCTTTATAAAGATTTAAACTCAGTGTTGTCCCTTTAACGTTTCTAACTGCCAATCTGGAATAACATCTGGAGTTACAGTGCATTTAATCCTTGAGGGTATATTCTCTCCATGATGCATATGACTAAAATGTGTGCATTGAGGGACAAATGTCCAGTAGCTTTAGGTGACTACATTTTAGTAAACTTTTCTTAAAGATTTGATTTAGAAAAAAAAAGCCAACAAAACAGCTAAGAGTACCTTAGGAGAATTTTAAGTCAAGATAACCATATTGAAATATGCATTTGTTTTTAAAATGTATCCAAATAATCTTTACAGATATAGCTATCCACCTTGAAAATGCCATTGCAAATTTTCATTATTGATAACAGTATTACAGTTCTGTATTTTTAAAATGAAGATTTTTTTGAAAGTGATCTTGTGAGAGAATACTGTAACTAGTATACCATAGTTTTACAGACATGGACATCATGATTGAAACAATCACACACATTTCTTATTAAATGCAACAACAGAGTTGTCACCAACAGGGGAGAAGGAAGGAAGCTATCAAGAATAGCAGAATAATGGAAGATGATAAACATGTACTTGAAATCTTCTGATAGGAAGAACAAATGATGGAGTTAGATAAGAAGAGGCGCCACACTGGTTGTATCTCTAAGCAACAGGCAATCAAACAGCCAGATAAGCATCTTCATAAAGTGCAACAGGCTCAGATGCATGGGTCATAGCTGGAGAATCACTTCCTGGTTCAGCTTAGGCAGTAAAAATTTATGACCTGCTTAAAAATCGTTCAAACCCAAAAACGTATTTTGCAATAAATTTGTTTTCCATAAAGAAGGCAAGTCATTTTAGGGCATGCCTTGGTAATGGCAGGAAATGAGAATACTTACAGGAGTGGGCTGTAACACAAACAGTGCAATGTCATACATGAACAGCACAAAACCTTTAAATTCAGAGCAGAGCTTAACGTAATTTTCTGCACATCTTAAAAGGTGGGACAAGAAGAGCATACAGTACACTTCTTTCCTTTGTTGCCCTCTGTCACATAGCACAAGATCTCAAAAAGTAGTGTATGTTTTTTCCTTGTGTCTCCTTTACTGCAGAATTCACACCCCTATACCATCACACATCATCTGGCATGTCTACCCAAAATTTGGACCAATAATTTCTGCCTAGGAAAGGTTGGGGATCAGGCAATACAAAAGCTGCAAAGAGATGGTAAAGTTCCTGAATCAAAAATCATTTCAAATCCAAACTGTCCGGCAGTGAAGTTAAATAAAATACTGCTATCAGCATGTCCCTAAAAAATCCATGTATTGTTTATAAGAAACTTATGAGGTGTTATAACAAAACTGAGTCACTGCTGTACAGTAAATATATTTTCCGTGTCATAACAATGTATGCAATTGACTTTGGCAATTTTAATATGGACACACATGTTAAAGGCATTACCAACAGAGCTTCATCACAGTCACATGAGCCATTTCATACTAAGGCCTCATCCACACTTCAGGAAAGGTTGTTTAGCATAGGAGAGGTACAGTCTATGTGGTTTACTGCTGCTATTGTAGATGGAATAGCACAATTTTAGATATGTTAGGGGTACAGAATGGTTATATTTCTGAATTATTACACGTCCCTGCTATAGGTAATAGCTCCGTTCACACACAAGAGGTAAAAAACCCCACCCTGATAACCCAGATATCTCTACCAGCTGGCATGGTCACATTGAGAGTGAAGAACAGTGCTGCCATTAATCACCCTGAATCTGCAGTGTCAGAGACACAGGCAGAAGCACTCCTAGGATTCAAGCTTGTAACCTTTACAGGGTAATAGGCATAGATGAACTAGTCCAAAAAATCATAACTGATGCATTTATGTTCTCTTCCAAATCAAACAATTATTTTCAAAATTACTTTGTCATGTAGTAAAACAAATAAAATTTCCTTTAAATGACCAGCATCAGATGTTTGTCTAAGCTCAACGCAAATTAATTTAACAAGTTTTAAATATTTGAAAATGGAATTTATAATGACAATCTTCAATATCCAAAGTAAATGTAGTTATTATTGAACTCAGTTATAAACACATCTAAGAAATATCCTGTAATACCCAAATAAATTCATTTGGCAAACAGTGCAGTATCTTGGACTCAGCATTTATACCAACAGCAGAGAGAGTCTGGAACAGGAGCTTTTAACTCTCTTTAAAACAGCCTTCAGAAACCAGGTTCTGTAAGTGTTACCAGCTCTTTTTACAGTTTAACCTCAATCCAATCAGCAGTCTCCAGGGATTTTTGAATCGCTACAGATTAAAATCCTCCCTGACTTGACTGTTTGACTAATACTGTGTGTTTAATAATTCTACTTGTGAGAGATTTTATTTGACAAAATCCTGCTGTGTGGATCTTTCAGACGCTATCCAGCTGTACTAGAATATAAAGCTCTGCTGTCCTTGTTTCTTTATACAGGCTATACCCCACCACTAAGCAAAAAAGAAGAAAACTTTATAGTACGTGTATTACCATGTTGATATTAACAAAACCACTGTAGTATTAGTTTTAGACGCTCTTTTAGAGAGGAGTAGTGAAAATGTGCCTATTACACAAACATTAGATAAACTATCCTGTTGTCTTGACTGTTCACAGAAATCAATTACTCTTATGATTACATTTCAATGAAAGCTATTTTATAAATGAGATGGAACTGTAATATTCTATGCTTTAGGCATTCATTAATAAAAGCATTTCAGGGTTAGTATTTGCAAACGTTTTGCTTTTTATTTCAGGCAATTTTTAGCATTCTATAGCTCATGTTAAACTTAATGTAAACATTGTGTTCCTATCTCACCACAGTGCCGTGACTTCAGATTTGAGCAGTAAGAGGGGAAAAAACATCACCACTCTGGGAGCTTTCAGTAAGTATTTGTATAAGACAACACTTACCCTATCGTGCAGCCGAAAATCATGACATCCTTTTAAGTTTATGGCAATGGTTAGTAAACATGTTGCCAGACAAATAAAAAAGACAAAATTGATGAATGCTATGAAAATTAAAAAAAAAAACCAACAACAACACAATTCAACATGTTTCTACCTGAGGTAGCATCAATCACTGTTGAAACTCCCCTGCGATCAGAAGCTGGACGTGAGGAGCCCGGCATGCTGACGGGTTCTGACCGGACCGGCTGAATCCTAAACAAGAGGTTGGAGTTACCACCTGTGCCAGGGTCCCTGCTCAGGAGGGCAGTCATTAAACCTCAAACCTCAGTCAGCTGAACCAATTAAGCAACTATTTATTTTAAACTCAGCCAACTGTTGAAAACTTCTGGTTTCCTTTGCGGGGCCAAGATCTGGATAACCCATCCAGAGGCAGACTGAGACTCCACGCAAAGTGAGCATCCCCAAACTGTCTCAGATGTGAGCTCTCATAAAGCTCACCCTACCCAAACTGGCTAAAAAGCCTCTATCACCCTCCTGAACAGCAGCATTTTGTCAGTTTAGGAGAAAAGAGACATTTGTAATTGTATACTCTTTTTGTAACATATATCTATATTAATTTTTTTTTTTAATTCTGCTTTCTGCATATGTGTATATATATATATGCAATTAAAAAGTTGATGTATTTGACAGCTATAACCTTACTTGTGAGAGTAATTACATGCTAGGAGCAAGCAAACATTTCAAAACCATGTATTTTCAGTCCAAGGACAATCTGTCCAGTTTTAATGGGATTAGTCATATTATCTGTCTCTCATTTTATTCAGAAGAGTTTCAGACCAGAGTCCCAAGCAGTCTGAGTCCATACCACAGAACTTTGGACTTCAAATCTCATGCAGAGTCAGAAGCATGGAAATTCATGAAAACTTGAGAGCTACTGGACAGGGCACAGACACACACGGTACACTTCTATAAGATCACTAGCTACCAATACATATAAACCCACATTTATCTTCACTCTCCTCCTTTCCCTTCCCTAGGGTTGACCCCTAATTCCAAATCAACCAATGTCCAAAATGAGATGAAATAAATACATGAAAAAGAATAACAAGAAAGGAAGCAACGGAAAGGGGAAAGAAAAAAAAAAACAGTGAGGGATAAACATTCCAGAAGTTCACTTACTGCTCCAACACACTGACAGCTTCACAGTCAGCATCTGAATCTATGGCATAAAGCTCTTACTTATGCCTGAGAAAATTCATTTATTAAGCAATGCAGAGTCTGTGAAAGCCAAGATGCTGCTGAGCAAGGCCACCAGACTTTGTATGGCCTTTCACTGTCATTTACCCAAGGGGCAGCAGGAAGTAATCTAAACTCCTTGGCCTGGATGAATTTTTACTGTTATCAAGTCACAGGCTCTTTTAGGACTTGTTGGTAACTATTACACGTTCCACCCAGATGGCCTCATTTCAGCATGAGGCAAGTTATCCACATAACAAATGTGAAACAGCTTGGAAATAGATTTTATTTTTACCTGAGACTGTTGAGGTCAAGATCATCTGTATCAAAGTCCAGAAGAGGCTGCGGGGTGTCACTTGGACCATGCGACTGCAGCACTGAAGAGCTGGATGAAATGACAGTGGTTTGGCCTGAGGGGTGGATTGTTTTGAACTGGAACTGTGGGCCCATCCACAGGCGGCGGTGGGGCCCGGTGTGAGTCACGATCTCGACCTGTGAGAAGGGAATGTGGGGAAATGCTTAACACAAACTCAGTAAAATGGTTCCCTCAATACACCGACCCCTCAGAATCCTGCTGTTCTCAAGCAAAAAGAGCGTTTTGTGCCATTAGTTTGGAGGAATGCTGAACAAGGGAAAATCTGGAATGTCTTTGCTAGAGAAAGGGTGCTCTAGCCAAAACCAAGAGCTTCTTGCAGAGCCTTGCAAGCCTGTGAACCACCAGTCTGAGGACACTGCACCCCAGTTCTTTAAACTGGTCTGAAGACAACAGTCCATCCTGGCTATCACAGAATGGCTGGGGTTGGATGGGACCTCTGGAGACCATGTTGTCCAACCCTGCTGACAAAGCAGGGTCACACAGGGAAGGGTGTCCAGGATCATGTCCAGGAGTGTTTCAAAAGTCTCCAGAGAAGGAGACTCCACAACCACCCTGGGCAGCCTATTGCAGGGCTCTGGCACCCTCACAGGGAAGAAGTTCTCCTTCACCTGCCCGTGTTCATTCATCCACTGGCCCATATGAAATACACGCTACAACATGAGTGCTAAGAAGCTCCTCTTGTGGGGCAACAAACAGGGGAACACGTTTCCATCTGCACCTATACAGTGGAGACAGAAGAACTGGAAGTCTACCTCCCCCAGCCAACCTCAGTCCTGACCAGGTCAAGGGATGCACTTTATAAAAGCAAGCTGTTACAGCTTTGTTACAGCTGCTTTCTCAAAGTTCACACATTGAGCAACGCTGCTTCACATGTATATAGTGTGAACTGCACTTCAGATCAAAGCTCCTCACTGCTGCTGGCACGTCTAAGGATACTGCTGGCAGAGAACATCTTGCTGGAAAGCAACAAGATCTGTAGCAGAAGGCAACGTGAAGCACACCGTGAGACACTGAGCAGCCGAGGTCACGCTCCCTCCTATGGAGATATACTGCAAAGTTATATGTGCAACCCCTGGAGTTTAGAAGGGCTGCTACACACACATATATATTAACTTAACCAGAATTCTGGCAATTAAAACAGAAGGGTGTTTGCAATGAGCAAGCACCCATCTATTATATACTAGGTATCTAGGAGATATGTATCTGTACATATGTTTATGTGTAGAGATACACAGTCACAGAAGCTTCTCAGTTCCATGCCTACTTCCAAAAGGCACAGAGAACACAGGTAGTGTATTAATAATAATAATAATAACAAATAATAAGTTCATTATTCAGATTTTTCTCTAGGTATTGGCTCCCAGTGAAAGTCTAGAAGTGAGCTTTTGAAAAACAAGTTATTTCAGTAAAAGAAGCATCCAAAATACTTTTAAAATATCTTTTTCATACTATAAACCTGATGAGTATCAATTCTGGCAAGCCTTCAAATAAGCCAACTATATGCAAACAACCATGAAAATTTAAGATGGTAACATTGTTGGAAGCATATGATCAGGATAATTTGGCCTTGTATATAAAAGGGCAAACAAAGTATGTGTCTTCTGTAACACAATTTTAAAAATCAAAAAGAGCCTTTAAAGATCATAAAAATGAAATATGAAATGAAAATTTTAAGCTCTGGTGATCTCATATTTTTAAGACAACAGAAAGAGATTACTTAATTCCTATCAATTTCTGCTAAAGGGATGATCAGCTTCAGAGCAAAAATGTAACTTAGTGAGGAAATTAATGAAAATACTTTTTACTATATACAAGACAGATGTGTGCTAGTAGCAATTCTTAACTCTTTAAGAAGCCTTTTTGAACACCAGACAATGTTCTAAGTTCTCTGCTATCCTGAGAAGACAGATGCACAGCCTATCTAGCACTATTTCCATCTTTGCATTTATCTTTGTGTAACTCAGATTGACTGTAGATGTTTCTAAGGCAAGTAGCTTTTATGTAGCAGTGTAAATTAGGCCACAGATAAAGTAATCTGTATATTTTAAGCTTGAAACCATCAGTGTCACAGAGCCGAGAGGTAAACAGATGCCTTTGCAATTTTACTGAGGCTATGGCCAGATGTTCCTATTCACTCTCCTGTTGTGTGCAGGACAAACATATTGTATCTACTTCACACTGACAGCACACATTACCCACTGTTCTAATTGAAAAGTTGAAGTGAAGGGCAGTGTTTTTTCACTGCATGCTGTTACTGTTGATAACAGCACTTTAATTTTGAAAAACATACTTGCACTTTAGGCTTAATCTAAAGTGGCTTGCTTAGAGGACGTGAGCATCTTCCTGCTTGAAGAGCTATCATCACTCTTTTCACTTAGCAAAAATGAAACATTCTGGAAGCATTCACTGAGTTCTCTCTGTTCTGTGACATCATTTTGGATTTTTTTTTCTTTCTTATGAATATATTTACTCTTCTAGAGGGATAGATGTGATGAAGTTCAATGAGTCTTAAGTTCCTTTCACATCTTATGTCTTCCAAGAATTAGTTATTCCAAGAATTAGAACCAGCCCCTATAAAACAGGTTTACATGACACCCTTTTTCCTCGGGTTGCCCACTACACCAGAAAGCACCAGAACAGTAAAATAAGCAAAATGATCCAAACAACACTGGAGAGGACAGGTGAAAAACTACAACTGCAGGGGAAATCCTGGCCCCAGCAAGCTCAGTGACACAATTTCTGTTGACTACAGATTGAGTAGCTTCACCATCTTTATGCTCTGACAAATTAGAGACAGCATAAACAAGATATATCAGTGTGCAGCCACATCTAAAAACTGTGACCAGGTAAACGGATTCACATGAATAGATTCCCCAATGAATGCAGCTCCTGGACCTGTACAAGTGGAAAACTAACCTCTCATTTTAGGAAAATGCTGTGCATGATTTATTCACCAGTGGGAGAAGCAAATCACATCCATGAATATTTCATATTTATGCCATACACCCCAGCAACACATTTAGTGCATCACTCTCATAACAACACTTTTCTTAAGCCAAAGGAAACCCACCTAATTTGTCAGAATGAATTCCATGTATCAGGTAGCCTGTAATTGCTTTGGAAAATCCAGAGCATTTGTTTATTTATTTATTTATTTATTTAACTCTAACCTTTTATTTCTAACAGGAACTAATTCTCAGTGTATTATTCATGACCTGCATTTTTAAACTGAAGTTACGTTTTCAGCCAAATAGTCAAGTATGTACCAAATTCTTAAAGGGACGCTTCACTGACTGAAACAAAGCAAGAATGGATAAAATGAGGAAGATTTAACCTCTTATAAAAATACTATAACACGCACGATCATTTTAAAGCACTATGCTATTTGTATTTAGCCATAACTCAAAAGAATTATCAGTAGGAAATGTAGTAACTGATAACCAGAAGGAAATAAAACAGTTAATCAACCATTCTTCTGTTAAATGCAGTAAGTATAGCAGAGGTCACAACTAAAAAGGCATCACCATTTTGCCAAGCCAATTTCCTTTACCCATGTCTCAAAAGGACCATGTCAGGAGAAAAAAGCAGAGGTAGCTTTCTGTTGCCAACTGAAACTTCCTACTTCATCCTGAACTTCCCAAGAAGGTGACTTGTGCCAGCAATGATGGAGGATTTATATGTTTTTTAATACAGCTTGTATAGTTTGACCATCAAATCCATACCACGGTAAGTCAGGCGTGCAGTCAGTTTTACACACAGCAATACCCATGGCCTACCAGAGGCTTACTTTCCATTTTGAGAAAAGTTGTGAATTTTACTTCAATTGGATACTATTGCTGTTTCCCTCCTGCACTGGAACACCCCCAAGAAACACACCTGTGAAAGCCACTCTTCATCCTCCTGCCCGCTGTGGTCAGACGCCAGGCTGTCGTACGACTCGTGTCGAGTGATCGGTCCAGGGCTCCCCGGTGGAACCACTGAAACAACAACACAAAACTGAAAAATCAGATTTACTGTTCAAGGCTTTCAAAGAAACTTTTCAGTCAGTTATTGGTACAGCAAGGTATGCATTTCCCTAAATCTGTGTCAGTATGTTGGAACACAGAAAGAGCTCAAATATTAACATCAAAAGTGATGAGGAGATTTCCATTCTTTGACTTAAGTGTATACATACAGCCACTATGACAACCCAAGTGTCTCTTCTTTAAACCTGAGCACTTAATGAACATATAGAACCACCCAATGCAGATGACAACCACCTGTCTTGAGGAATGGAACACTGAGAAATGCCCTGGTCAATGTAAGCCTTTTCTAGAAACTTTCCCAAATTCAAACTGTGCTGAAGATTCCCGACAAAAGCTACCCTGAGGCACTGCTACGGGTACTGACTTTGAACACAGAGGACTTCCAAGACTTCCTGAACTGAATTATCACTCTCATTTCAACGTTAATATAGTTAATTTAAGTCTCTTTTCACAAACAATTTGATTTTTAGGATTTGGCTTTTTTGCAATTTAATTGGAAAAGCATGTTTATTATCTTAGTGTTACCTTTTGTCACAGGAGTACCAATATATTAATTAGGAATCCATAACAAAGCTTTGTTACAAGTTTGATGTTTAATTTGCTACAGAGACTGCATACTGAAATTTTTTCTTTGGTTTGCAAAACATCAGGAATTCTGTATTCAACTGTTGCATTGCATTATAATAACACTGCACAGTAATTTTGGACAGATAAAAACCCCATGTTTCAGCAGCAGGTGACACCGGTCACTAGAAAGATACATTAGCTCAAGCTGAGGGACAAATTCATCAGCAGCTAATTAAACACAACAGTCCAGACACAACCTCCAAGAAGTCCATAACCTCCAAACTCCTGGACGTTGGAGCACCTGCTTCTAGTCATACCAGAGATCCCAGGGTGTGTAAATCTGTGGTTTGACTCAAGATTACATATGTCCACAGTGCTTATCACCAAATCTTTTCTTGAAAGCACCATGAAAATCTTACATTACTATAACTGCTTTAATATCTAAGTCTCTACTGTTTTCAAAAGACTGGTACAAAAAATATAGCCTCAGTTCACAGAAGTTTTATTCCTCAATTGACTGCTCTCATTTGTCTTTATACGGACTCACTGCAACAGAAAAATGCAAGTTCTGCAGCTCTGTAGAGTGCACGATATTCAAAACCACTTTTAAAATGATTACCATGTATACATACAACTTTGGCAAAAAAAAATCACAATGTAGTGTTCAAATGCTACCACAAACAAGAGAGAGAGAATGGTAGACTCGTTGTAAAGATTGACATCTCATTATTCCTGGTCCTGGAGTCATTTAGATGGGCAAGCAAAGCTATTTTCTGTGGCGGCAGCAGCATTACGTTGCTCTAACTAAAACTTCACACTTGAGGAAGCAGAAAGAGATCAGAAAAAAACAAAACACAAGCAAACACCTCAGATAACCTGACAGGAGGTATTTTTCATTTTCCTGTACCTCTTATTGGCAGGAGCCTGTTGGAGGCCTGGGTTCAGTACCAAGAAACCATGCACACACTGAGGGAAGAGCACACACCATGAAAGCAAATGCAACAATGATATTTTCACTTTGGTAAAACAAGGGAGTTTTATGCTATAGCATTAAGGTACAGGACAATTCTAAACTTGGAACCAATATTTTTATATTCACTTCGTCTATAAATGACTCAAAGTTTTTAATATTGATTTTTAAGAACTGTATTATTATAGGGTTGACCTTTATGTGTCAAGTTTCCATCCACTACAAATTTTTACAGCCGTGTTGTAAACCCCTAATAATAGGGAGTTTATAATGGCAAAGCAGACACAACTGTAACCATAAATACAGAACGGCGCCTCTATAATATAAACAGCATCGGGTTTTCATAAATCCATATGCTATATGAAAAAAAGGGATTTTCACCCTGTTTGTGTAAGTGGGTATCAGAACCTGACCTCAGCTATGGAGCCTTTTCCAACACCTCCGTATCGCAGAGATCCTTATCCTGCCATCTGCAACCTACCAAGTGCAGCTCAGGGCCTAACTCATTACAGAACTATTCCAAGGGCTGTGTCGTTGGGATGTACTCTTACAAAGCCTCGAGTTTTCCCATGAGCTGCTCTGCATCTGCCACATGCACTGGAATGAATACAATTGGTGCCTGCATGGATGTGTACACACGTGCACACCTTGGCAACCACAGGTGTGATTTCAGCAGTGTGTGTGTTCATCAGTTTTCAAGATAATACAGAAACTACATTCATCTGCTTCATTACAACTGTGACAGACCTAATGCAGTGACTTATGGGTGTGTGTGTCCAGCCCCTGTCAAATCCACTGTCACACACACACCTTCCTGGATTACAAACAGCTGTCGACTCACAGTAAACACCTGAATACGAAACCATAGTGCCCGCACTTCTTCCTTACCCATAAAAATTTATATTTAAAACCCACCAAACAAAACCATCGTTTTGACATGTTGTGCTGCTGCCCTAATCTTCCCCATATCTCCTGGAATAAACTGGGCTGCCTGCAGTGATGCCTGTTTCTGAGGGCACAGCTGATCAACTGCAGGCTTCCCTGCTATTGAACTCCGCCAACAAACTGTTCATGGCTCTAGCAGATGTTTTTGCTTTCAAACCGACAGGAACTTCATGGACTGTTCTGAATTTTTTTTTGTTCCTTCTATCCCAGGGGCAACTACTAGAGCTGTCAAGACTGGGGGAGCTGCTATTCAATGAATAGCTGCAGAAACGCTGGCCCAGGGAGCAGCATCCACTGTGCTCTGTCACTGTGCTTCTCCCGGGGGCAGTACTCTTACGTTACACTGGAGAGTCGAGACAGCTTTGCAGTGAGAAAGAAATCCAAATTTAAGCCTAGTTTGGGTCCCTTGCAGTGTGCCTTTTGCTGAGGACTCACAGCCTTGCACGAGCCGTGCACTAACCCACGTTCCAGCCCAGCTCCAGAGCACAGCATTAACTCTTTCTACCAAAAAGTGACGACATGCTGAATTCCATGAAAAAGCTCTGCCTTCGAGTTCACCAGCAGGGCAACAGTGATAAAGCCTTAGCTGAGGTCAAACCTCAGTAATTTATTTTGCTATTTAATAAAATAGCATTTATGTACCACACCTATCACAAAAGCAGGCACTTAAAGAGAGTCTGGTTTTGATAGCAGGATCCCATAATGACGGTCCCAGGCTCACCGCAGGCAAAGCAGCTCTACTCCCACTGCCCTTAGTGGGAGCACGCAGTGTTCTCTGAGATATGACCTTCTAAGACAAGTGATCCTTGTTGGAGATTTGCCACCGCTGTACTGCTGATTACAGATATGCATATGGTCATTTTTTTCAAGTTAAAAATGGCTTTGAAGTTATAGGAACAAATATGTTCTAAAAACGTAAACCCGACGTTTCTGGGTCACACACCTCTCGCATTGGTGTCAAGTTCCAAGGCAAGATTAATTTAAGCCCAGAGGGACATTTCCAGGAATTTGAGCTCAAAAGTAATCTTTTATCTTCCAGCTTAATTCTTTGAAAGTCTGAATTCACACTGGAAATTATGGCAGCCTCTTACACATCAGTGAAGCTGCTCTTATGCTATAACACAGAGATTTTTCAATTTCCAAACAATTTCACTAAAACACAGGATAGGAAAAAAAACTTAAATTCTTCAAAAGCTTTGCAGCAGGTAGTGTTTTTTCTCGCACTATTTCTCTTTCATTGAAAAAAAATCCACAAACGAGGCACACAGACAAGAATCAATCAAGCCCCTGTTGCACAGAGATATTTTACTGGCAATTGCAGGTGTTTTGTACCTGCCTATAATAATAAATCCAATACTATCTGAACTATGCCAATTTTTAACCTTTTGCTATTCTTACACCAACATCTGGAACAGACGTATATCAAATATCAGAATGCAATTGAGTTTGTTTAAACTAGAACTACTCAAGCAGGCAGAAATTTGTACAATTACCCAACGAGTGAAAAAGTATAAAGAGAATGAGTGTTTAGTAAAAATCCAAAATGAGAATTAGAACACACAACTTCTGTTTATGCAGTGCAACAGGGCATGAGTTTCTAAAGTCTGCTTACAGATGCAAAAAGCTCCATCAGCAAGCATTCAAGGATACTTTTTAAAAACCCACGTGCTACCTACAGCAAAAATGAGAGCTTTGCCAAAAATATTTGGCAAGGGGCAAAAAACATCCTTGAGCTGCTCAAAAATAATAGTAGCACTTTTAATCTCTGTCCTCCTTAAAGTGAAAAGTGATCTGCATCAACTCTAAATCTGGCATATATTCCTGTCCCTCCATCCTGACGAGTTCTACTGAACCACTCCACATTTAACTAAGGAAAACCAGAATCACAATGAAAACTGTTGTTGTTCATCTTCTTTCATTACTTGAACACTGTCACTTCATTTTCTACCCTCAAAATCAAGTGTGCAGGTGCTTACCCACAATCTAAGGTGAGCTTTTAAAGTTCACAGGCTCTCTTCTCTGCAGTTACAAGATTAATCTTATTTCTATATTGAAGAAAATTATTGAAGGTAAAGATCTGAAAAAAACCTACATTACAATGTTGGTCATTTGTGTGATAACTGTTAGTGCCAGGAAAACTGCACAGAAGTGACTGTGGAGACCAAAGTTTCAACACAAGCCCAAACAAAGGCTGCAATGCAGCCGAGCTGATGTTCCTTTGGAACTCCAGGACCTGAGTCACACTGTTCAATGATGAAGTATTAAACCCAGCCTCCATTGTTTCCAAACTTTGCCACGATATTTAGTGGCAAATAAAGAAAACAAACAATTTCTATTAACCTCAAATAATTCACATAGACATTCTTGTCATGTGAGCAGGACCTAGACAAATACACATGCTTGGCAAATACTGGAAATAAAAAACAGTGGTTTTGTTCATAGATGGGCTAATTACACAACAAATACCTAG